GTAACATATAAATCTTGCTTTCAATTTCTTTTTGACATAATTCTCTTTTCTATTTACTAATGAATCTTGTTTTCAGCCTTCTAACGAGCACAAGCATCATCCTTAGAAGTGAAAATAATACTACTGGCCCACTTTGAGTTGTTCTCCTTGTGGAAATGAGTTTGCACTAAACCACACAGCACACAGATGTGTCCTGGCTCGTCAATATTTGGGAGGGGGTCAGGGAGCACAATGTTTTTTCTGTGTAATATCTAAAGTTAAGAATCCTGACCGTGGCCCTCTAGGTAGCACACCCTGTACCCAAGTGCAAGTGTCTCCTTAAGCTTGTAGGAATATTTCTTCATATTCTCCATGAAATTTAAGGGAATCTCTGGAGAAAAGACTGCACTCAAACAAACTCTGTTCTGTCACCAGTCTGACAAAGTGTAGCTACACAAACACCCTGAGTATTCAAGGCAGCCCAAATAAAAGCCAGTGTTAGTCAGTTTTCATTAGACAAGTCTCATAACTATTTTAAAAGTGTAATGGAAAACTATATTTTTAAATGTCAATCGCATGAAATTAGCCCATAGTCCACAGGAATTAAATCCACTCTCTCAAAGAGGCACGTGAAATAATGCAAACTACTTTTTTAACCTGAAAGCAGCACATCATCAGGATGACATCACACATCACACACAAAACAAATGGCACTCATGAACTGTTCCAAAGTGGTGAAAAGCAAACAAAGGGGACTATATCTTACTCATTTTTGTTACTATTGCATCTAATGATGATGATGAAGAAGATGGTGATAGGGACTTCCCTGGTGGTCCAGTGGCTAAGCCTCCGTGCTCACAACGCAGGGGGCCCGGGTTCAATCCCTGGTCAGGGGACTAGATCCCGCATGCTGCAACTAAGAGTTTGCATGCCACAACTAAAAATCCCACATGCTGCAACAAAGATCTTGCACACAGCAACAAAGATTCCGAGTGCTGCAACTAAGACCCAGCACAGCCAGATAAATAAATAAATATTTTTAAAAAAAGAAGGTGATAATATTTACTATATACCTACTATGTGCCAGGTACATTTGTTCTAAGAGTTTCACATATATTATCTTATATAATCTTCATAACACCCAAACTTGTGAGGTAAGTACTATTGTTATCTCATTTCACAGATGAGGAAATCCAAGCACAGACAGGTTAAATTACCCAGCTATGAAGTAGCAGAAGATCCAAACCCGGGGAGTCTCATCCAAAGCTCAAGCTCTTACCACAAACCAATAAATAGGCAGGTGATATATCAATATATTTGTTAAAGTACATTTTTAAAGTATTTGATCAGTGGCTTTTATAGTCATGTATGCTCTTTTTTTAAATGCATACAAAATATATCTACTCTTCGTTCCCATTCATCCAACCAGTGAAAGTATAATTAGGTACAGGCAACCAAATAAGCAATTGAGAAGAGAAAATCTTTTCTTTTTTTCAGTCTCTTTAATATTTTATAGTGTCCTACCGAAAGAATAGGGCCAGAGAATCTCAGACCAAGGCGCCTCCAGAAAAGGGAACTCAAAGAAGGTAGGACAAAGACAGCCAGGGTGAGCTGCTGACCAAAGTATGTCACAGATGAATATTCTCTCCTGTTAACTGTTCTGCAGTGACGCTCTAAGCACTGCAGTGCTGCCAATATTAAGTCTGAGCTCATGAATGCCGTGCTGCAAAAGTCACCAACAACCAAATAGGAAAATATTTCCCTTTCTCTACTAATTTTATTCATCCCAGAGTCCTGATCTAGGAGGTTTGAGAGTTAACAGAATTTGGGAAAGGGCCAGCTTTACCACTTATTGTTGGACCGAGCACAGTAGCTTAATCAATAAATAAAGTTTACTTTAGCCTCTCAGTCCATGGAATAGGTAATGTGTGTAAGAAAAGGTGACCTTAAGTATTTCTCTGATGTTCAGAAAACACCTATTACCTAACCTCTTTCAGACAACACAAATATCATCTGAATTACCTAAGTCTGATGGTTATATATGGTTATAGGAAAAACCTAGACCATTCAGTGGCCTACAGGGAGAAAAAGGAGAAAGAAAAAAAAATCACATACCTCCAAAAAACAAAACAAAAAAAATGATACATTCTGAAAAGAGATGGGGAAAAAAACAGCTAGCTCTCTTTGGTTCCAAGTGACCTGACAGAAGAAGTAAGATAAACACTGCAGTGCATGGGAGAAAAAGCTATCTACCTGAGTAACCGAACAGCAGCTTCTGCCACTGCCAATACCCAGGCACCTTCCTTGCCATTATATAACCAAACCATGGCCTCAATAGGCCATCATACTGTATGTCAACAGTTCTTAGACATATCTGAGCTGTCAGCATTTGAGAAACCTTTCCAAAGTGGATTCAGATAAGCATGAAGCAGGCCAAAATATGTTCATCATTTACTCAGAGCACATGACAGCTCCTTGTGAATTAAGCTTCACTCATGTCGTCAGAGCAATTTAAGCAGAGAAACACAGGGTGCCTATAACTGTAACTAGGAAATTGCACACCGCTACAGAAACACAAATGAGTGCTGGTGTGGTCCTGTCACACATGCAACTCATTGTCCAAGCCATTTCAGCCTCATTCAAGATTTTGAATATTGCCATACATAGGAATTGCATAACTGCACACCACAAATGATCAAAGAAAAAACCAACATAAACAGTGACACCCATTTATAAACAAGCTGATGTTTAAAATGCTGCAGTCCTAAAGGATATCAAAGACTTTGAGAAAAACTTAGACACAGACACAGACACACACACACACACACACACACACACACACACACACACACACACACACTGGAAAATTAGAAAGCGGGGAGACCAGCCATAATTAGCCACTGGCTTTGCTGACTACTGAAGATAGAAATGTCTCTATTATATATAAAGCCAAGAATCAACTGTTTGCAATTACATTTACAAAAACATTCAACCCTCTCTGTCACAGACTTTTTTAATCAATATTTTGGTGTATCCAAGGGCTGTAAGATACAAAATTCTTTAAATCAGAGATACCATAAACCAGGCAACCAATTAAGTTCATAGAGTCTGTCCCCCAGAGGTCAGAGCAAAATAATCACAGGAGCTCGACGTGATTACTTAGGTGGGAGGGGGAGGCCGTGGAGAAAGGAAATACCAAAACAAGGAACAAGGCTCCAACATCTAGAGCTGTTTGTAAACATAAACTTGGCTTGGCTAACAGTAAACACAACTGGAAACACTCAGGGGGGCAGAGGTGCACCAGAGTCTTGGCTCAGTCTACTCCCCGCCAGGGGGGGGGGCGGGGGGGCGGGCTGAGGGGAGCACCAGGAAACCTGGGACTTTGGGATCTCATTCAGCTCAGACCTTGCAGACTTGAGGCCCTCTGCTAGACACTGACAGAAAGGCTGAAGGGGGCCCCCCAGAGGAAGTGAAACTGACCAATCAATTTTCCACAGCCAGCCCCCAAAGCCACCCTGCTAAGAAGGGCCCCTTACAGTCTGACAGAAAGGAGGGAAAAAAGGACTTCAGGTCATAAGTGAGCAGGAGACAAGGCAGAGGTAAGTCACTGCCTTCTGAAAGCAAGGGACTGCCATAAGAGCAGAAACAAGGTAGGTGACAAGAACCAGAGGCTAGGCTGAGGAGGGGAGGGGAGTTGACCCGGCTTTGGTAGGAAGCAGCAGCAGCTGTAACAGTTCTTCATTAGTCAGGGTGAGGGAAACACAAATTGCAGCTTTAAATATAATGAATGACTACATCTAAAGTATTCATTCAAGTGAGAGACGGGAGCAAAGAAAGAAGTCCGGAGTACAAATGGGCTTGTGAGTCCTGTCAAAATCAAACAATTCCTCCGTGTCTTCGATTCCAATACTCCCAATGAAGAAGACGACAGGAAAGAGCTAACCATATTTCCTCCAAAAATGAATTTTCTATGTAAAATATTAAATGGATATGGATATGGCTTCCTAATCGACCTTGCCCAATTTCACCACCACAGCTCCACAAATCCCTTGGGAACCAAAGGGCCCCATGTGTGTCTGGGCTCCTCACACACCTCCTCAGTCACCAGGCTTTCCCCTCACCACTGACAGCCCACCCTGGGCTCTATAAGGCCCACAGTTCTGGACCCTCCAACAACTAAATATAACCAGCAATCCAGCTCTCCCAAACTATTTAACCCCTGAGTACCTAGGGCCACCACAAACCTGGGCCCCCCTTGGGCCTCTGTTCCCTGACCCCCTTCCTGCAGAAAAATAAAGTGCTTTTTTTCCTCCATATTTCCCCATTTTTTTCATCGCCTCCTCCAATAATCCCGTCTGTCCTCAGACTCCCATTCCCACCATCTATCAGTCTTGGACGATCAAATGCTGATTGGTGCCTCTGTCAAAAGGTACCAGGTCCCTCATACCTCTCAGTACCCTGTACCCACCACATACCCCTGGTACGTGCCCCAGCTATCCTCGTTCCCCTCATAATCCCACATCTGCGGGCTGCCGGTTTCACCCTTGTTTCCCCCCCGTCCTCCTGGTCCACATTTCCTATTCCCCTGCCCTCATTCCCTTAGGATTTCCTAACTGCTGATTCCAGAGGCTTCTTAGCTTACTGTCTCCTGGCTCCGGTAGAGTTCCAAACCTCTTCTTTCCAATCATCCCTTCAACGACCCTCCGCACAGCCCACGGAGCCCCCTCCCCATCCCCGGCTCCCTAGTTCCCCAGGTCCCCGCGCTCAGTGGCCCCCTGCGTCCCCTCTGCCGTGCAGTTACCCTCTCCCAGGTCCCCCGGTGTCCCCCACTTTCTGCTCGCCCTCTCCGCACTCTCGCCCGACAGCCCCCTACCCGTTTCCCCGGTCCCCAACGCTCTCCCGAGCCCCGCTCCCGCGCCGACCCCTCAGCCTCGGTGTCGCGGGGCTCTCCTGCGCCCTCAGCACTCGGACGGTCCCGGGCCGCGCAGCCCCGCCGCCGCCCGGTCCCAGCGCGCCACTACCTTGGCCTTGGTGACGAGGTGCGTGGCCCGCTTGACCACAGCGAAGTTGCCCTTGCCGATGGTGCGGTCGATCTCGTAGTAGCCGATGCGGGCAGGCACCGGCCCGCGGGAGGCCGGGGCTGAGGGACGCGGCGGGCCAGCCGCCGGGGGCACAGCAGCGGGGGC